CGTCAGCAAACCTTATATTGTTAATAACTTCACCGTTTATTTTTACACCTATGACTGTATTTTCAAACGTGTTGTAAAATATTTCCTCTGAATAAACGTTGAACAGAACCGGTGATAAGATGCATCCTTGTCTGACGCCCCTCTTTATTTCTATTTCTTCCGTTGATCCATCTGAGGTTTTGACGATCGCTTTCTGGTTGAAGTATAAGAATTCTATAATTTTTATTTCATTTTTCGGTAGTCCTTTCTTCTCTAATATTTCAATCAGCTTATTATGTTTGACTTTGTCGAATGCTTTTTCAAAATCAATAAAGCACAGATGTAAGGGTGAATTCATTTCTTTGAATCTTTGGTTTATTGTATTTATCATTAACAAAGCTTCCCTTGTGCCCAAGTTGTTCCTAAAACCGAATTGTGAGTCCTGTATGTCGTTTTCCAGAACCCGGTATATTCTGTTATGAATAATTTTCAGGAACAATTTCAGGCAGTGACTCATTAGGCTTATAATTCTGTATTCCCCACACTCTGTGGCGTTGCTCTTCTTTGGAAGCGTTATGAATGTTGATCTTAGCCATTCCCTGGGTATAACGCCTGTTTTATATATTTTGTTGAAAAATGTCGTCAAAGTTTTTAAAGCTTCATCATCTAACAGTTTCAAAATTTCATTAGGAATCTCATCTGGACCAGGAGCAGAGCGATTTTTTGAGTTTTTCAAAGCTTTTTTGACCTCGCTTAATATGATACTGGGGCCTTCTTCTGTTATATTACATGCATTATCTAGTCTTGAATCGTCAAACAAATCCTTTACGTACTCACTCCATCTTGCAAGTCTTTCTTTTGGTTGAAGCAGTATTTTTCCATTTTGGCATTTGATATTCCCGTTGTTATTTTTTTTCTTGCTTTGTGTGACTTCTTTAACTTTTTTGTGTAACATAAAAGAGTTTTTGTTGTGATCTAGGCTAGCTATAGTTTCACATTCGTTGTTCCAGAAGTTAGATTTAGCAATTTTAATTTTGTTTTTTATCATTTTGTTGATTGCCTTGTATTTTTCTGAATTTTTGTTTTTATATGATCTTCTGTCGTTCATTAAGCTTAAAATCTCTTCGGTCATCCAAGTTTTTTTTGGCTGGAGTTGATTATTGGCATTTAAAATGTTTAACGTACTATTCAGCGGATTTTTAAGCTTGTTCCAAATCTTATCAATATCTTCTTCGCTTCTTAGTTCTATTGCTTGTTCTGCGACTTTTTGGTTTAGATAGTTTTTTATTTCATTTCGCGTTTTTTGTCCTTCTAGTAGGTTAAAGTTCAGTTTACTGTTGTGCTTTTTCTTCAACATTTTCTTCAACGAAACTTTCACTTTGACCGCTATTGGATTGTGGTCAGAGCCTATATCTGCACCAGGATAAGTCTTTGCACCTTTGATTGCGTTTCTAAATCTTGCATTTACTAAAACGAAATCTATTTGATTTTTAATTATTCGATTTACCTCATTTCGGGGTGCTGTCCAAGTGTACAGCCTCCTGTCCGGCAATTTGAACCACGTATTTGCAATAACCAGATTATTCAGCGTGCAGAATTCTATCAATCTGTTGCCTCTTTTGTTTCTATTACCCAAACCATATTCGCCCACAATATCTAATACCTTTCCTTTAAGTGCTAGTACTTCTTCTAGATCAGCGTAGAATTCTTCGCAGACGTCGTCTTCACTATCCGCAGTAGGCGCATATATCTGTATTACATTCATGATTCCTGATTTTGTCTTCATATTTACCATTATAATTCTTTCAGACTTTTTTATTATACAATTTATAGAAGACCTCAAGAAACCGTTCATTAAAATTCCTACTCCTTTTCTACTTTGTTGATCGACGTTTACACCAGAATACACAAAATAATTGTTGTTTTTGCAACAATTATTATAATGGATATAATAGGTATTAGTGAAACTCACTTTCCAGTGAGTTTCACTAATACCTATTATATCCATTTTCAGTCTCTTCATTTCCATTTCCAGATTTTCCAGTTTACCATCTTGGAGTAGACCTTGAACATTCCATGTAGCTAATTTTAAAGTTTGATTTTTTTTGTTTTCTATTTCGATGTTTTTTGAATTTGTTGGTTTTTTACTAGGGAGTTTACTTATGAGGTGGTTTCCCGTTGCCTTCCTCATATCCTTTATATATTTTTTATTCTAATATTTTATCCTTTTCTTGCCTTGGTCGTATCTAAAGTATCCTATTAGCGTTGCGATGTGGTTATTTTATTTCAGATTCTTTATTTCTCTCGCTTTCACTTATATCCTTATTCTTTTCTTTTTGTATTTTGCTTTTTGGAGTTCCGTTATTTTTCAAATCGTCAGGTGATCTCAATCTTTTTTGTTGATCTTTATTCAGGGAAATCTCTTTTAGATCAACTTTTTTGCCCTCTAGTATTAAACCGTCTCGCTTTATTTCTACTTTTTTCCCTTCTGCTTCAAGTTTTTTTTTCGCTTCAACTAATTTTGCCCGATTCGCTCATTGAATTGCAGTATAGTCACCTTTTATTTAGAAATTGCTACCTTCCAAACTTTTACTGTTCTTAAATAGTTCTTCTTTTTTAGAAAAGGATACACAACTGACTAATATTGGACGGATTTACTCTTTATTTTTTGCTTTTCTGCCAACCCTACGTACAAAATTCAAATCGGAGTCAGTTATTGTAGTTTTTAGATGAGCCTTGCAAAAATGCTTTACTATGTCTTGTAGCTTTTCTTCTTCCTTTTCTTTTATATTTCCTAGCAATAAGTTATTTTTTCTTGAAGTTCTGTCACCTGTTTCTCTTACGTTTTCAATTTCTTTTTCTTTGTCCTTTAGGCTTTCCTTTAAGAAAGCTACTTCTGACTCTAATTCGTCTATTCTTTTATTTGCTTTTTCCAGATTCTTGTTAACTTCTTGGATAATTTCTTTTTTGTTATTTTCAAGTTTTACCTCCAACCCCGTATTTACTTCTTGAACTATTTCTTTTTTATTGACTGCGAGTTTTTCGTCCAATCCAGTATTAAATTCTTTTCGGAAATCTGAAAATTCTTTTTTTAGAAGCTGAGCGATAACACTCACGATGTCGGTTTTATTACTCATCGCCGTATATATTTGTGACGCGTACGTTTATAATTGTGTTTACGTCTATCCGATCACTTTACTACAACAGCTCAAATAATTCTAGTACAATTTACTTTGTTTAATAGGTACTTGAGTGACAATTACCTCGTTTATATGGCAGCTTGAGTACTTGACTTGAAATCAGCTTGAAACTCAAGCAGCGTTTTTAATATGTCAGCTTCAAAGCTTGAAAATGACATTTAGCTTGAAATCAGCTTGAGTTTGACAGTCTTTGAAGTAATAGAAAACAAAGTAATTCAAAAAAAAAGAAGTTGTAATTAATATTAGAAAATATGGATTGTAAAAACAAACAAAAACTCGTAATAAAGTGCATGGAAAATTATAAAATCCATCAGGAAAATATAATCAAAGTTTTTATAAAAAAAAATAATAGAAATAGAGTGAAATTTTTAAGAAGATTAAAAAATAGAATAAATATCAATTTTAAAAGACATAGTGATAACATGAAGAAAAATATTGAAATTATACAAAATTCTCAGAAAAGAAGCAGAAAATTATGGATGAAGACACGGTCGAAAGATTGGTGGAATAACATTTTTGCTTCAGATAATTATTCGGAAATATTTGAAAACTTCCGAATGGATAAAGAAACCTTCAATTTTATATGTGAAAAATTAGACGAAAAATTAAAGCCTCATCCACTTCATGTACGGGAATCCTTATCAACTAAATGCAAGGTTGCAATTAGTATTTATAAACTTGCTTCTTCTGCCGAATACAGAGTTGTTGGCAATCAATTTGGTGTACATAAAAGCACTGTCAAAAAGTGTCTTTATGAATTTTGTGATGCTATGCTAACCTATATCAAAGAAGAAATTTATATGCCAAAAAATGAGGAAGCCGAAGAAGTAATAAAAAATTTTAAAGAAAAATCTGGTATTCCTCAAGTGCTAGGAGCAATTGACGGAACACATATTCCAATAACTCCGAAACAGGAAGGATATAGAGACTACATAAATAGAAAAGGTTGGCCATCTTTAATATTACAAGCAGTTGTGGATAGTAAATATTTGTAAGTTTGTAACATTCAATGTAAAACCGAATTAAGGTATTTTTTTTTCTATGTAGGTTCCGAGATATAACATGTAAACATCCAGGATGTACACACGACGCAACTGTTTTGAAGGATTCCTTCCTGTACTCTAAATATGGAAATCTGGATCTAGTGCGTATTCATAAATATTAATTTTAGTTATCAATTAATTTATAATAAATTTTAGCCGGTTGAAATTTTGACAACAACATTATAAGGCCGTTTTTAATTGGAGATCCTGCGTATCCACTTTTGCCATGGATATTGAAAAATTTTCCAGGCCACTGTAATGAAGAAGAAGAATCTTTTAATGTTTATCTAAACAAGGCGAGAATAGTGGTAGAAAATGCCTTTGGAAGATTGAAAAGCAGATGGCGAATTCTCCAAAAAAGAATTGATGTCAATGTGGATTATGTGCCTAAAGTAGTTGCCACATGTTGTATGCTGCATAATATTTTAGAAAAAAAGAAAAGTGTCTTTTAACCAAGCATGGCAGGAAACTAGCTCTTGTAATTCACTAATAGTTTACGAGCAGCCGGAGAATTTCGTTGGACAAGCAACTTTAGAAGGTACACTTGTACGAGAACACATAAAGGATTACGTGAAAAACAATTTACCTATTTTGAAAAGTATAAAATAATAAAAAAATACATCTTTGTTAATATTTTTAAAACGTTTAATGAAATAAAACATGGCATTTTTTAACATTTCCACTAAAATTTGAAAACCAAAAAAAAAAAAAACATAATGCTAACCAAAAATAAAGATCAATTCATTTTGTAAAAAAAAAACATATTTCTTATTATTTATTAGTCTATCCGTCCTTGGAAATATGAACTTAAACTATTTTTAATATTTTCCTCATATTCACTTAAATTTATAGTCTCTGTATTATAATTACTCGTTTCAATGTTTTCCTTTTTTGTAATTAAATTTATAGTCTCTACGCTATGATTATCACTTTTATTATTTTCCTTATTGCTATCTAAATTTATAGTATCTATGCTACGATTATCATTGAAAATATCTTTGATTGCACACAAGAAATTATCACTGCTTTCCTTTAGCAAACTTTTCATTTGCATGTGACTTTCCTTTTCTTGCTGTGAATATAATTTGTATTCATAGTCTATAAGTTCTTTTTGTTTCTTCAGAAAATCTTCATTGATATCTTTCTGCATTTTATTAATTTTTTCTAACAACCCATCAGATGTTGATTTTCGTTTACGTTTGGAATTATTTTGTAAACCTGAAAAATATTATATTTAATGAATTTTCATATTCATAATATTTTACACTAATATATGTATTTGTATTATATAAAACAAACCACTTGGACTTGGTAACGGCTGCAGCTCATCCGAATCTTCTTGGTTTATATTTGTGTTAGAGGAGTCATTTGTTGAGGGAGTTACTACATCTGAAAATGCAAATAGTATAAGTATTTAATATATCTGTATGTAATCTCCAAAATTCTACCGCAAGAAGTATCTACTCCTGTTTCCAATGTTGTTATTGAGGGTCTCATACCCATCAGCTCGTCCATTTCCTCGAAAAACAGAAAGTCGTTAGCACTATTTCCACTTTTGTTTTTTTCTTTTTTAATGTTTATGTACATATATTTTAAATTTTTCCACCTAATTTCAATTTGTTTGGCGCTTTTATTTTCAATTTTTTTATTTTTTAAACAGTTTTCTACCATTCCGTAGATTTCGCTGTTGCGATATTTTTTGCCATCGATTTTTTCTATAATTTTTTGTTCCTTAAAAAGCTCCAGCATAACCCGCGTCTCCTCATTGCTCCAAATATTTCTTTTCGACATATTCTACAAAAAATTATAAGTTTATAATAATAAATATCAAAATAAAAATACAAAATATCATGTACATATGTTCAAAAATTAACTTACCTTTCATTTGTATTGACACTTAATAGTTTCAAATTCATAAAGCACTCTATTTCTACTGTCATTTTAGGACAAAAAATTAAATTCTGTCATTTTCAAGCTCTCAAGCTTTCAAGCGGTGTTTTTACTTCAACATTTCAAGTCAAGTAGGCAAAATTTTTTGATTGACTTGAGTGAAGCCGATTTCAAGTCAAGCAGTGTTTATATGTACATAAAATAGGCTTCAAGTAAGCTTGAAGCTGCCATATAAACGAGGTAAATGACAGCAGGGTTTGTTTACTTATTTTTTCTTCTACTTCTTTTTTATTTTTAATTCTGTTTTATTTTTCGATCACAACCGGCAAATCTCACTGTGACTTGCAATTCCAAATCCTCGACAAACTCCGATTATTAAATACGGTAATCAAGACCCGCGTTTCCGCGACGATCCAACAATTTAACTATTAAAAATTTGCAATTATAAAACAATTAAAATCGGGAATCAAGCAATTTAATTCACTTCTGGATAGCTGTTTTGCTTTTATTAGAATTTGTTCTTATAAAAATTACCAGCACAACAATGCAAATACACTATTATTCAGTTCTTTATCTTATTTCAGTTTTCAATATTCAAAGTTTATACTATTCAGTTTATGTTCAAAGTTTGTAAAAAGAAATATAATACATGTATATAACCAATTATAAGATCAACTATCCCAGAAAAGACCCACATAACATAATTCGAATATATAATATTTCACGTTTTCTTTTTTTTTTTTTTGTTGCTATTTTATTCTATCTATCTATTTTAATCTCGGATCGCGGAGCTTCGCCAAAACACGTCTTATCAACTCGACCGCTAGCGATAGTTACAAATCTAATAACAATATTTATTGAATTAATGCACGCAAATATTTGTATAAAACGTTCTTCCCTATATAGAGATTTCTTTTTTTTTTTCTTTTTTCTTAGTGTACATTAAATTATTATATATATATATTTTCTACATTCTATGGTACCTATAAAAAAAATTTATGGACTGGCCCTAGTACTCCCGTGCTCGACTCGTTCCTCAGGACTTCATGCTCGGGGGTTTCTTCCATCATATATTTAACATATTTTTTTTTCTTCTTTTTATGTATAATTTTTATTTTATTTATTAAACATACAAAATATTGTAGTTCACTTAATAAGTAAACAAATATCAAGCGAAAAATCAATTTAATTAAACAATTTTTTTTTTGTTTTTTTTTTTTATTAAAAAAAAAACTAAAACTTTTGTTTTCAATAGTCATAACCAATATGAAATTAGTGTTTTTTTCTTTTCACAATCAATAATTAAATATTTTAATTTTTTTTCTAAGAGAACTATGGAAATAAATTTTAAATATGTAAGTTTATATGCATTTTCACTTGTTATAAAATTATTTCGTCTCCTTATGTTTTTTTTGTTTTTTTAACTTATTTAAATTACTTATATATTACAAATTACATAATATTATTTAATTATTTTTTTTCATATTAAGTTTTTATTTTTCCTTTAATTTTTTTATGTTAGTTAACTACAAAATTATCTTAAAAATTGCGATAATTTAGTTATCGAAATTACTGTATGGAATTCAGAAATTATTTTTTTAAAGTTTTTTCATTTTTTTCTTGTTCTTAATGTAGAATTATTTACAAAACCTTTTTTTTCTTTTTCTTTTCCTCATTTTGAAAGAAGAATATTCAAAATTTTTAATTAATTTATTTTTTTTTCAAAGACCGTCTGCTTTTAAACTCCTCCACTGACTGACTTTTTTTTTCAATTCATTCAACATCAAAACAAAAACAAATTCCACCACTGATACATACATAAAAAAAACTCCAAAATGGCTAACGGTAGAGTTGTATGATATTTTACTAGAAATTTCGATTCCAAAAAAAATTGCTAATAGAAATAAACCAACAACAAGACAAGGTGAACAAGCAAAAAAAAATAATACGCAATCGCGGGACAAAAAAAAAAAATTTTTGGATGTCCCCCTGAGTCCTCGCGGTGTTGTTGGAAGCCTCAGTTTCGGGGGCCCCACGTTGGGCGCCATTTTCTGTTATGAAACTAGTGTTGTTTGATGTTTGGGGGACGACCTGGCAAATAATTTTGTTTTTATAGTAGTTTATAATTAATATTAATTTCAAAGATCCTTTTTTTGGCAAAAAAACACAAAAAATAAAGTACATACACTATAAATTAAATTTTGAAATTAAAAATAATATAATTATATAAGGACTATATTATTTATATTTAATATTTTTACTTATTTCTTATTAAATTGGGATTTTATTTTATATTAATTTAATATTTAAAAACTTTTTATATATATTTTCTGCTCTTCTTCATATTTGTACCACCTTTCTCGAGCTCTATCTTTTCACTAACTGCCTGTCTTTTTACAATTCTCAACATCAAGAAGAAAAAACAAATTCTACCAAACATGCATACATATCAAAAACTCGAAAATTCCTAACGGTAGTATCGTACGATACACAACTAGAAATTTCGATTTTAAAATTTCAATAAAAAAAAACCCAACAACAATAAATCAGATCATGACACAAAAGAAAAATTTACAGGATCCGACATTTAACCCTAAACAGGATTCTACCTAATATTTAATACAATTTGTTCCTATGTAACACCAACATGATCGTACACACATCTATAATTCGCATTAGGATAGTATATAACATACAAGGGTTAGCAAAGAATTAGATTATTTTAAACTGAAATAAAAAAACTACAACAAAAATTTGCATTATGCGTTTGGGAATAGAATAGAACGAAAAAGAAACAAGAAAAAAAATTACAAATACCAATGAAGTAAACATGAAAATCATCCGATATACGACTGTACACATTTTTTTCTATGAATATGTATGTTTATGAATAACATTGTGCACGACCTAGCCCATAACAAATTCTAAGGGACTACTGGGATCTAGCTTATATTTAAGATTAAGTTTATCTAGAATATTTGATAGATCATTATAAAATTGACTTACATTGAAAAATTTTACTGAATCGGTTTGTTCTTTTAGCTTAAGATAGGATTCTTGGATCCCGAATAACTTTTTTAGTTGCTGTTAGATGACGTCCCAAGTTGCAAACTTTCTTAAGACTTTCCAAACGTCTTATACTAACTGCCGCTGGTCCTTGTATTTTGACAATAGTATACTGAGTAGATACGATTTCACCGCTGGATCTGGTGTTAAACCAATGATTAAATCAACTTGGTTGATGAATGACGATAGCTCAAAGGTGGCATTACCTTTGAATGGTGGCACTGATCTTGCCTCAGTTATTAAGTCCCGAGTTGTAATTTCTTCTAGATTTACTGACATATTTAATTTTGTAAATTTTCAATTAAGTTTTCTCTTCTGAGTTTAAGTTTTTTGATTCCTTACTGGAATTTTATATGGTTTCATTCAGATTTGAATATATGTATATAAAAGTATGTTTTCTTTTTCTAAGGTTGTTTTTATCGCCACTAATTTAAAAAAAAAAAAAACCTGACACCTTTATTATTATTTATTATTGTTCAATAAAAAAATCTTTTTTTGTTATAAATCTATTGCACTTTTCACAATAGTTAAAATTAGCGTTTTTTTAATTTATTATTTAAAAATTTTTGCGATTGGTATCAGTTGGCGATCCTACCGACTGCGCCAGTTTTGTATGTTACTTTTTAAGTACTAATTTTATTTAAAGAAAATGAAACAAATAAAAAGAATTATTTTATTCTTTTATTTAACCTTTTATTACCAAACTCGATGAAACCAAATCTTAAACTAAACTTTTTACTGTCTAAAATCTTATTACAAAAGTATTCAAAAATCAAATCGATTTTTGTTCAATTTTTTACATAGTAACATTAATTTATTATCTGACCATTGGTGCAGTGGTTATGGCACCGGTCCTTTAACCAAAGGGTCTCGGGTTCAAACCCCGGTCAGGTCACTATAAAAAATTATATTCAATATTATTATAACTTAATAAGTATACAATACTAATAAACATTTTACAAGTAATTTTCAAATATTCGTAATATTCGATATTAAAAAAAAAACTAAGAAAAATAAACAGTAAATATTAATAACCTCAAATAATTAATATAAATAAAACTACGGCAGGCTAGTCACCTACCTAGTTAAACTCTATGACGCTATGAAACTAGTGCATGAGAAATCATGCACTAGGCCTATGCTCCTTCTAGGAGTGAATAGGGGAAAAAAAAACATTAATTTATTAAAACAAGAAGAGAAACTATAATTTACGTAATATTCTTCTTTTCAAATGCAATAAATTTTATTTAAAATAAAAGGAACGAAAAAAATAACTTTATGTTTTCGTTTTCATGTAATTTAATATTTCAGTTAATGAACTTGAAAAATAAATGTGTTGAAATTTAGTTTTTTATATTTTAATTGTTTGTTCAAAATTAGGATAGGTCAATTACTTAAGAAATAATAATAAGAATAATAAAAAAGAAGAAATCAGAAATTATGATTGGTGTGTTTGAATTTAAATCATAAAATTGTTTAAGTGGAAATTTTAAGAATCATATAATAAATTTTATATTTTATTGCTTTTAGGACTAATTGAATTTAGTTCTATTATTCTGAATAAAATCTCATTGGTCGGATATATAACTTACACACTTGATATAATGAAGTTATCTGAAATGATTAAATTGGTTTGTATAAAAGCAATATATGTATATATAAAAACAAAATCTTATTAAAATTGTCAATTTGATTTAAAATAATGCCATCAAAGTTTAATTCATTATTTATGTTTTTTAATTATTAATTTTATAATTAAATTAAATAATTTCCTTGCATAATTAATGATCTTTCATCACAATTACTTGCAAGATTTACATTATTTTGATTTTTTTCAATTACTAAACCTTCTTGATTTTCTTATATTTCTGATATATCGTTAAATAATTTATTACAATTTCTTTTAACTAGCCAATCGCTTGACAGTTTTAAATTTTTCAAATCAGTATTTTTTGTATAAG